GGAGGAGGCAGGGAGATGGTGGCCGTAGGGTGCGAGAAGCGGCGACGGAGTGCGCACAGGCTGAACGGTGAGGGCTCAGCCGCACGGGGGGTGCGTGGGGCTGGCCACTGGGTGTCAGTCTCTTGCAATAGAGACTCAACAGCCTCGAGTTGCACCCGGGGAGCTTTAGGTTGGATATTAGGAAAAATGTCCTCATGAAAGGGTTGGCAAGCACTGGAACAGGCTGTCCAGGGAAGGGGTTGAGTCGTCCCTGGAGGTATTTAAAAGATGTGGTGCTTAGGGACATGGTTTAGTGGTGGACTTGGCAGTGTTAGGTTAACGGTTCCACACGGTGATCTTAAATGTATTTCCCACACTAAACGATTCTGCGTTAAAACGAGGCTGGTCACTGGCCCCAAGGAGCACATGGGCCCGGCTATACGAGGGTGCAGCTGCCACACAGGAGGGCCAGATGCCTCCTCAGCTGCTCCTGGCATGGGTGAGCCCCTGCCACCAGCTGGTTCACTCCAGGAGGCTTAACAACACCCCAAGGGAAATCAGAACTGACTCCTACATGCACTCAGGCAAATCTACACCTGTGAACAGTATAGGCTTTAATTGCAGGGCACTCACAAGTACCCTGCTCCTTCCCCAGGTGATGGGTGTTAAAAATCACCCAGGAGATGGGAAGGGTTTGTGCTCCCTGTGCACTTGAGGCAGCACGTTGTGATTTCACTGTGGTGCCTGGTTTCAGCTTGCTTCAGGCCTGAGGTAGCTGGTAAGGACTGAGCTCCTTAGTGTGTATATATCCTGGAAGTAAAAACTGCTACCTTTGTTAGCTTGAGTCCTTATCACGAGGTGTACAACACTTATGACACAGATAATAACACAAAGAAATGTCTTGGTTTGCTTATTTAGCTTTTTTTTTGTCCAGAAATTTCCATCCTGCAGCTGTAAACTCCAAGAGGTCCAGAAAAAGTTTTAAAGAATGGAGAATAACAGCCAATTCCCACTCAGCTTAAATTCATCAGGGCTACACCCTTGATGGAAATGAAGGGCACCTAACAGTGAAGGGTGAAAGTCACCTCTGTTTTCCTTAGGAGCAGCCTGGCTGGTAGCAGCACCTCTGCCTCCTTTAGTCTCATGCTATGGCACATGGCAGCTTCTGCCACCCTAGGTCCTCCCACTTTTTTTTTTTTTTTTCACTCTTAGGTCCTCCCACGTTTTTTCTTTGCCTTTCCCCGTTGTCAGCTCCATTGCCTCAGTAGCTATTTTGGAGGGCTGTAACTGGCTTTTCACCTACATAATCTGAGCAGTGCATCATAGCTCTTTCTTGCAGAAAATGGCCCACTGGTTTAAGAGGGTTGTTTAAGCCCAGGCTGGAGGGGTATGGATTTAGAAATCATACCCTGCTTTACCTCAGGCTTGAATGCAATTGCTTTGCAATGAGGAAGCAGGAACAGTCCTCCTACGCTTTTCGTAGGTCTTCTAAAAGGAAATTCTTTCACATCTGACAGTGAAAGTATCTGGGAAGAACTCAGTAGACAGGCCCAGGGGGATGTGCCCACGTTTGGGTAAGGGCATAAATTGCGAGGCTGCAGGAATACTCTGTAGTGGACTTTATAGCAATGCTTATGCCTGAGTGCCAGCTGCCCCCCTCAGTTAACTGTAGTGTAGACATAACTTTAGACCTTGCTTCATTTCCTGCTTTGGTTTGACATTATATCTCAAGACAGTACAAAATGAAGAAGGAAAGCCAACTCACACACAATATTCACAAGAATGATGTAGTTACTGTGAGGCAACACCTGGACCAAAGATCTCTTGGTTTATAAAAATCAAAACAAACCAAGAAGGTAGCAGGGAAGTGTATAACAGTCAAGGAAAGCAGCTGAACAGTTTATGTTAGTAAAACAGCTTTGGCTAGGTTTGAAATTAATGCCGTACCTCTGAAAGGTGTCTAAAAGTATACTAAATGATGACACAACCTTCCACGATTGATTTAGTGCCCTTCTTCCAGTACTCTTGGTTCTGTGCTTTTTAGCCTCCAAATCAAAGCGTCCTTTAATGTAAATCCCCTCTGTGAACAAGACAGTTGTCCTGTGGAAGAGAAGGGGCAATTTACAAAGTACAACATCCCCCAAAAGAGTTGCTGTATGTATGCAAGTATTTGTGTATGTTGGCTCTGTTCTGAGGGCATTCACTAATATCGCCTTGAAGTAGGAAAGGGGGGAAAAATATTTGGTGTCATCCATCTTCACAAGATTTCTCTTTTTGAAGAGATTAGAAAATCTTCTCATGTGTAAGATGTGGTGGTACCTTCTTTTTCTTTCACTCACAACTCACGAGGAAATCCACGCTGGCTTGCTGTCTGATTTCCAGGATGGCAAATCAGTTTGACTTCTCTTTGCCTTGGGATCAGGGCAACGTTTTGTGAGGAACATGAAGTGTTGAGATGGTTGGCTCAAGTCTGGGCTGGACTCTGTTCAAAGCTTCTCTGTTCTTCAGAACACATTCCCAAGGATGTATCTATGCTGGCAATTCATTACGGTCCCTGCCTGCTTCATTACGGATCTCTCGTCCTTTGACTGTCTCCATTCACACAAACTACTTGGTTGTAGGGTGGATATCTGGAGCACCACTTGCAGGACAAACTCATGGCACACATGAAAGCTCACACTGTGGGCTCTGCTCCTTGGACCACACAATGGAAACAGTCCCTCCACACTCCAAGAGGGTTTCTCCGAGTCTCTGTTGCTCCAAGGAGCCCTTAGACTGTGGAAACTGCTTAGCAGTGTGTTACAAAAGTGGACAATTCCTTCCCTGTGCTGGTCCCTCATCCATGCAATGATCCTTTTGATGACATCAGTGTCTAAATTATTTTTAACATGTGAAACGGGTGCTTTTCCAAGCTGTATTTCAAACTATCAACTTATCATATATGACATTACTCTACTCCTTAGAGTCAATTAGATCACTGCTATAAATCCTTGTCTTGACTATTTATTTTCTATTGCTCTTGTTTTGCTTTTCAGGGCAATACTGCTAGTTTGGTACCACGATGGCTGCATATTATTGTCTCACATGTGATTAATAAATGTTATTTTTCACTGTCAGGGCTCTAGCCAGGCCGTTAAGCTCTCCCAAAACCACTTGCAAGGTCTTGAGAGCTCACTGCAGCTGAGCTTGTGTCTGGAAGCAATAGTGTTATCCATGTTTTTCCTAGATCCATTTTTCCACAGACCTCTGGAACAACCCCACAGGGTTAACCGCAAAGCTACTTGGAAGTAATTCGCTTCACAACATTCTATATGAGATCAAGTCTGAAAAGGCAAATCTACAAGTTGCTCAAAATCTTGGAAGATTCATGAGCCTTGTAAGTAATAGAAATATAAGTTTAAAACACACACAAGGTGTTTCATTCCCATTTCTTTATGATTAAGTGATTGCTCAGCTTTATCTGCTGCAAGCCAACTGTCAACTTACAGGAAGATTATGGAAGGCAGCTCAGAAAGATGTTGTCTCACTCAAACAACCCAGATGTCATCTATTTGCCAAAGTGGTAAAGCTGATCAGAATGATTTTGGTAGCACTCAGTTGTTGTATTCAGTTTATATTTAGCTGTTTTCAGGTTGTATTCAATACTTTATGGGTATCCAGTTTCACCTTTGTATCTGATATTAAAAGAGGGGAAAACCCCAGCAGCTCAGCCAGTGTATCCTTTCACTTGCACGCAGGAGGCAGAACTGATGCCTTGCAGCTGATAGACTGCAGAAGAACTCATTTTGAGTAATTCAGGGCACAAATCATGCATGGAAACCTTTTTCAGATGTGTACATGTTTCCTTTTATTCATCTTTAAAATACTATAACGAAAAAGACACTTGATGAAATTGCCTTTATACCATGACTAAATATGTGCACTTCTAGGAAAGGGAGATCCACATTCAGTCTCACTCTTTTCCTCATTTATTACAGTGGTCCTTAACTTTTTGGAAGGGATTAACCTATCCAGTTCCCCATTCTTTACTCCCACATTTACTTTGTTTACAGGTATCTCCAGCTTGTCGCATCCACAGGTCACCTCTGCATGCCTGACAATTTGTTCTAAGCAGGCATGGTAGCACTTCTGCTAAGGTTGCCAAATTGCACTTCTCTGCAATTCTTGCGTTGGGGATGGGCGCATCCCCTCCACATAGTGAATTTAAGCCACTCATACAGGCTTGCTATTTCTTATTTACCTTTCAGAACTGCCTAAACAGTAGCACACAACCTCCAGGAGGTCACAGACTGAGAAACACTCAGCCAGAGGGAAGATCGAGGAAGAAGTAGGGGGTAGCACTCCACCACGGGTGTCCAAAAGCCACTGGCAAAGACAAGAAAAGCTCAAAGGTGAGGCAATGGCAGAAAAAAAGGTTCCTGGAATTTCTAACCAACAGCAGTCTTCAAAAGTGCATGATATTCATGCATTGTTAGGGCTAAAAGAAGCAGGTGGCATTTTAATTTGGTTTGCTTTGCTTTTTAAAGCATTGCTTGATTGGTTCTCATGGTAAGTCAACCCCCATAGTTCCTGTCTGCCCAGACAGACCTCTGTAATGTGCCGTTAAAATGCTTAGGAAAGTAGTGACATCCATATGGATGTTACTAGTTAGTGAGGCTAGTGTAGCTTTTAGAAACATGCTTGAAATAACTGTTTGAATGGTAATTATCCTCTGGTTCTGAGAAAGGAATATTTAAGTGAATTGTTTAGGTTGTCTAAAGGATGCATGTGTCAATTCCTATCCCATCAGCTTTATTATATGTAAAAACTTGGTGGTGTTAAAACTGTTAATGCTTCTAAAAAGCTTTACATTTAAAACCTGCTAATTATT